GCAGCAGCAGCAGTGGCGGCGGCGGCGGCAGCAGCAGCAGCAGCAGCAGCAGCAACAGCAGCAGAAGCAGAGTTAAGCGCATGATATGAATCCACAAATCCTAAACCACTATTCGTACACCCGAAACATAAACCCTAAACCCTAAACCCTAAACCCCAAACCCTAAACCCTAAACCCTAAACCCTAATTATAATACCTGTGGCATTAAGGCCTGGAGTTTGTCTGCTTCTGGGCGTTTTTCAGGGGACGTCAGCAGCTGCCGCAGTTGCTGCTGCTGCTGCTGCTGCTGCTGCTGTATATCTGCATCAGCATCAGCATCTGCTGCTGCTGCTGCTGCTGCTGCTGTTGCTGCTGCTGCTGCTGCTGGGGGCTGCACAGCAAGCACCAACGCTGCTGCTGATGAGTGCAGCAGCGGGGCGCTGCCGGAGTGCAGCAAACGACGAAGAACTGCGATAGCCTGCGGCAGCAACGCAAGGGTTTAGGGTTTAGGGTTTAGGGTTTGGGGTTTAGGGTTTGGGGTTTAGGGTTTAGGGGTGGAGACATAGAACACTTTCAGGGCCTCCGTAGAACTCTATATATATATCCGGCGGTCTAGGGTTTAGGGTTTAGGGTTTAGGGTTTGGGGTTTAGGGTTTACACTTTAGGGTTTAGGGTTTAGGGTTTAGGGTTTACGTGTGTGACTAGACAAGCCTCGCTCTGCTGCAGCAGCTCAATGAGAGCAGCAGCAAAAGCATCAGCAAAAGCAAAGCGGGGAGAAGAAACCCCCAAAACAGCAGCAACAACCTGCAGCACCCATACACCACAAACCCTAAACCCTAAACCCTAAACCCTAAACCCTAATCGAGTAATAATAGGGAATAGAATAGATATCAAGAAGAGAATAAACAGCAGCAGCAAACCCCAGAACAATCTACACAATATAATTCATCTCATGGCTTAGGGTTTAGGGTTTAGGGTTCAGGGTTTAGAATCTAGGGTTTAGGGTTTAGGGTTTAGGGTTTAGGGTTTAGGGTTTGCCTTGAGCGCAGCCATGCGGATCTTCCAAGAGTTGTCTGCTGCTTCAAGGTGTTCATCGTAAGGATAGAATTCAGAGAATTCATCGTTGCTGCTGCTGCTGCTGCTGCTGCTGCTGCTGCTGCAGTGCAGCAGCTGCTGCACGAGTTGTTTATTTAGGGGTTGCTGCTGCAGCAGGTCAGCTGTATCTGTTGCATATATATTTGGATTATACTGCAGCAGCGGCAGCAGCA